TTGCAGTACTGGAGTGGATTTTGTAATTCGAGGGGGATGTGAATAATTCCAAATGATATAAAAGCAAAAGAAGGGCTGTGCTGCCAGTGTGATCTCTACACCTCTTTCCACGTGGGAATAATGGAAATAGAATGGGAATAATGGAAATAGAATGGGAATAATAAACATGCTTTGCTTTCCCTGCTGCACAGGTTCTGCTCCTGCCTGCAGCTCCCATGGCATCTCCCTCCAGTCTGGGCTGGAACTCTGCAGTATTTTACTGGGCACACACAGGTTTTCCTGGCCCTGGTTTCCATTGCAGCACAGCAAGGTTTTCATGCCAAAGAAAGAGACCCCCACTGTTTTATATTTGTCTTTTAATTAATTACATCACCTGCCTGGTAATTAAATTTAGCTGCCCACCCTGGGTGCTGGGATGAGATGGGCACCAACTGTGGTGACCATTGGTATTTAAAACGTGGTGGTTTCTTAAATCCTCAACTTTTGCTTCTTGTTTTCATGTAAAAATGAGTTCATATTTCTTTTCTGTAAACCCCCCCATCTCCATGACATACTTGTAGTAATAACTTGTGAGTTAAACCCTGCTTTTGTGCACCTGCATCAGGGAGATCTTTGTGCTGGGGTTTGGAGTGAGCTGCTTGCCCAAGGAATAATTCTGCTGTGGAGTTTTTGAAATGATTTCTGGCACATCCATGGCATATGGCAGCATATGGCCCTGCAGCCATCCCTGTGCCTGTTTGTTCTCCCTGTGCTGTGTCAGGAGCTCTGTCAGGGCTCTGGGAACTCGTCAGGGAGGGATTGGCCTCGATTCCCCCAGAACTTGCACAGGGCTGAGGACACTTGGGCTTTTTTAGTGTTCAGGCTCCAGTTTGTGATGAATTTGTCTTAGAGGAAAGGGAGGATGGGCTGATGGAAGCTTCCTGCCAGTGCAAGGGCTGGGAGAGCTCCCCTGGAGAAGGGAAGGATCCAGGGAGAGCTCAGAGCCCCTTGCAGGGCCTGAAGGGGCTCCAGGAGAGCTGAAGAGGGACTGGGGACAAGGCATGGAGGGACAGGACACAGGGAATGGCTCCCAGTGCCAGAGGGCAGGGATGGATGGGATATTGGGAATTGGGAATTCCCAGATTTGCTGTGGCTGCCCCTGGATCCCTGGAAGTGCCCAAGGCCAGGGCTTGGATCACCCTGGGACAGTGGAAGGTGTCCCTGGCCTGGAAGGAGATGAGCTCTAAGGTCCCTTCCAACCCAAACCAGTCTGGGATTCCATGATTCCATGTCTGCTAAAACATGTTTAGTTGAGCTCTTGACCATTTTAAAATCATTGGATCAACCTCTGGTTGAACTGTTTGGTCTGCTGGGTAATCTCTGAGCTCAGCATTGGGACAGGACCTTTGGGAATTTGGATTCCTGTGTCGTGCAGGGTGAGACTGCAGGACAGGACCTTTGGGACCTTTGGGAATTTGGATTCCTGTGTCTTGCAGGGTGAGACTGCCTTGAAAACCTGTCAGGGAGCTGGGAAGTGCCAGGTGGGATTGGTGTTGGGGAGGAAGGAAGAGGATGGGACAGGAGGAGAGGATGGGACAGGAGGGTTTTTTCTCCCATGCTGTCCCCAGTTTGGATATTACTCCAATTCCAGCATTGCCAATAATTGGCTGCCTGGAGGAGGATATTCCAGGGTACAGGAATATCCCAGTGGAAATTCCAGGATACAGGAACCATCCCCGTGGGCTGGCTGGGGACAGGGATGCAGGAAGGCAGGAGCTCTTTGTGAGCAGGGATCTTTCCCCAAAGCCTCTCTGGCTTGGGATGGACCCCACAGCACCCTAAATCTTTTCAGGAGAGGCTGCCTGTCATCTGGCTGATTGGAGCTGCTAATGGATTGCTGCTTTAATTGCATGAGCAATTAAAGCAATTTAATTGACAGAGCATTCCTTAGGGATGAAGGGAGAGCAATCCGGGGCTGTGGATTTATGGCACTTGGGGAAAAATTATTTGCAAGCTCAGTAAGTTTTTATTTTTTAGCTGCCACTGCTAAAGGTTGATTATTTCTTCAGTGAACACACAGGCTGGATGTTGTGGTGTCCAGGAAGAGGATTCATGTCACCTAAAATGCTGGGAATTCACCAGGAATGTTGTGTCACTCTTTCCACCTCATGTCCTCCAGCAGCCTCACCTGTAAGACCAGTCAGTGAGCAGGAGAATATAAAATACTAAAAATATTTTAATATAAAAATACTAAAATATTTTATTTTTAATATAAATATACAAATAATCAGACTCACTGTTTTTTCTGCTTTACCCTTCTCCCTGGTGTTTTTGGGATTGTTTCAAACCTCCACATTTTTAGCTAAGCTGAATTACATTAGTTGATGAGAGAGGGAGAAAATAAATAATTTATTGCACAAAAAACGAATTCACAGGAGCCCAAAGTATAAAGGCTGTGAAGTAAGCATCCAGTCTTTCATTGCCTTGAATAATGTAATTATCTAGAAAATCCTGTTTCTTTCAAATTGTCAAGTGGGGCTTCAGTGAGTTCGAGTGACACCAGATTTGGCAAAGTTCCTCTGTCTCCCAGAGGGTGGGATTGGGGTTAGTAAGGGTGGGATTGATCATTGGTCCTCAAATATGATTTGTTAAACTGTGGGCACAGGTGATATCCCCAAATGACCAGGCTGCTGCTCTAAGCAACATGAAAATAAAAGAGTTAAAGGGTCTTTTTACAGAATTCCAGAATCATCAAGGTTGGCAAAGCCCTCCAAGATCGAGTCCAACCTGTGCCCAAACCCTCCCCTTGTCCCCAGAGCACTGAGTGCCACATCCAGGGGATGGAGACTCCACCATTCCCTGGGCAGCCCCTTCCAGTGTCTGACCACCCTTCCCTTTAAGATATTCTTCCTTTTGTCGTACAAAAAAAAAGATGGGAAATGGCTTTCCTTTCTTTTCCTCTCATTCCCTACTGCAATTTCAGCAAGTACAGAGCAGAACTCCCTGCACTTGGTGCTGAGCAGACAGCAGTGTTTGTGTTGGATTGTTGGGCAATATTCTGTCAATATTTCTGGCAATAATTCTGATCTTCCATCAAACATTTCAAACAGAACCCAAAATTCCATACAAGTCTGGCTCCTTTTCTGCCCCTCTCGCTGCTATTTGCAGCACGGTGCCTGATTTTCAGCGTGATGTGTGAGTCACAGTCCTGGGGCTGCATCTCCCAGATAAGGCTCTGGCTGCTGGGATTGCACCAATCCCTGGCACTTGGCACACAGGCACTGCCACAGCAGCCGGGGGTGGCCTGGCACCATCAGCTGCTCTGCCTGAGCCTGGTTTGTTCTGACAGCAGTGAGGGAAAATCGCTGCTCAAACACACACCAGTACAAACCAGTATGGGCACTGCGTGTCCAGCACGGTCCTGTGAAATTCCATCGCTGGATCACATCACACCCGAATGAATGAACAACCAGCAGTGCCACAAAGGTGCCCAGGTGGGCAAGAGACCCCTGGGCTGTGCCTGTCCCTGTGCTGGCACTGCTGGGACACCTCCAGGGCTGGGGACAGCTCTGGGACAGGAGCGACCCTGAGGGGCTGGAGAGTGGCCAGGAGAGGGAACGGAGCTGGGAAAGGACTGGAGAATTCCTGAGGGAAATGGGAAGGGGGCTGGAGAATTCCTGAGGGAAATGGGAAGGGGCTGGAGAATTCCTGAGGGAAATGAGAAA